CATTGCCAAAACACTGCTAATATTGTCTATATAACAGCTTCATTTTTCATCTATTTTTATATCAATCACTTCCCGCAAAGTGCCTTCAACTTTAATACCGCATGGCATCTTTGTTTTGATGGCATTAATCCATATATATTTAACATGGAAGAGGAGCAAAGAAATATATTTAACTTTAATACCGCATGAACAATTGAGGTATAAAGAATTTGTAACTCTTTTTACTGTGATAACAACATTAAGAATAAAATTTAGTGAAATTATGTGCATTTTCAATAGAAGAATTAACCATTTCAATATGAGAAGTTTGTAACTATTTTTACCATGATAACAATACTAAAAATAAAATTAAGTCAACCTATACATGCCAACAACTACAGTAAAAAAAACCATTTCATTATGAGAAATGAACAATTTTAATATGAGAAATTGATAACTATTTTTACTATAATAATAGTATTAAAAATAAAATCAAGTGAAGTTATATATACAAATAACTCTTGTAAAGAAAATAACCACTTTAATATAGACAATAAATAATTATAGTATAGGAATTTGTAATTCTTTTTACTATGATAACAACATTAAAAATAAAATTAAATGAAGCTATACACACAAATAACTATGATAAAAAATTAATTACTATAATATGGCAATGAGCAACTATAGTATGAGAGATTTGCAATTCGTTACTACGAACAGAAATCCCGTGCTTGTCTTCAATGTCAATGATGCCGCTTCATACCATCATCGTCCCTCAACCCCAATAGTCCACCATGGGCTTCATTGATCTGCAACCATCGACATGTTTCCTTGTAAGGAAGACGATGGTGTGTGTGTAAACTTCCTTGTTCGCAGTTCAATTTAGATTCATTTAATGGTAGGGGATAAGTCGAGCAATGATTTTGGTGGTGCGGGCGGGTACAATAGTGTCGTTATCATGGATCGTTCATTAGCTCCTTCTCATTTCCAAAAGCAAGAGTAGCAATAGGTCGAAAGGACTGAATCAAAAGTTAGAGGCTTGAATCTCCACATGAGCATGTTGCAACTCCTTAGACTGAATCGAAACGATTGTTGAGGTCACTACACTAGCCATAGAGAAAATGAATGACAACAAAGTGTGTGGGTAACGGGTCGGTGATCGTAGGAGCAGGACTTCTGGTTCAAACAAGAAACAATGACGGCAGCCGATGTTCAATGAAGTAGTGAGGCTTGGGTTTTGGTGCATGAAAACCATGGACAAGGCAATGAGTTCAAGTAGGAGTTCAGAGGGTAGGAAAGGGAGAGAGGGGGGAAGCAAGAGGGGTTTGATGAGGTAGGTCATGTTAACATAATTCTCTTTCTCAACGGTGTTGGTAGCACATTGACGAAAGGTGCTAGCTGCTACATTTTTCTTATTTCATGATTTATTTTGCATCACTTCATAATATAAGACACCAGATGCTTTTCAGAAAATAAATCATGGCTAAATTTGCAATTTTACGCCACACACCTACCAAACATACCCATGAATCAGATATCCTTTGATATATCTCCAGCTATTTGTCTCTTGGGCGTTCGACCTGCCTCTAATCCATGGCCATCGTCTGCAATATCTGGTCATCGTTGAACAAGAAGGTGTGTTTTGCTGTGATCTACTCATCGTCCGTCGTCTTTCATCTTCTTCGCGTGTCCAAGTCCAACATTAGCCATTGTATCTTGCAAGGTATATGATCTCCTCTAACCAATTTTTTTTTTCTTGTTAGAGCTGGAAATACTTTTGATATCGCGGTCCTCTGTTTTGCATGTGATTTTTTTTTTTTTTAAAAAGGAAGTAAATGCATTATGGTGCCATTTATATTTACCACCCCCCCTCTCCCTGTCTCTCTCTCACACACACTTATGTCTGATCTGCTCCATGGTTGAGCTCGCTGAGTCCCGCAAATTTGGTCTCTTTCCATCTTTCAACTATTACCTGTTGTTTTCTATCCTTATTGTTCATTGTCCCAATAAGTAATCGAACAGTCTGGTGGTTGTTTTTTTTTTTTTGGCAAACACACCTCTTCAAATTAGAGTAAAGTATGCAACTAACCCTTCAAATTTGACCCTTTATTTTTTTAAAATTAAATCCTTCGTAATTTAGTAAGTAGATGATTCAATGACACATTTAGTCTTTTTGTTGAAATTCAAATTCTGGAAACAGAGCTGGTTAGTTCTAGAAGAGCATGAAGTTTGTCTACAACTAAAGTGGCAGGGGAGATAGCTCTAGCATTCAACTGACCTAGAATTTAGTTAATGTCTGTTGCTCTTCTGATTTCCAAGTTTAATTTCTCATTCCCTTGTAGTTTCTATTCGCATAATGGGTCTCCAGCTTTCTTTTACCTAATTAATGTCAGCTTCCGCATCAAAGTGATTTTACAGCAATTATTTCTACCTTAGTCAGGACTTTATATAAGGTGAGAGCTCAGAATTAAGCACTAGTACGCTATATAAATGGGGAATTGAAAGTCCATATGGATTGTTACTGCAGCATGGATATCTTTAAGAGCTTTCACCTTACATGTTTATGACATGGGATCAACACATCATTCTGATTGTACTCTGATATGGTGATAGTTGCAGAGATTCTTATTCATGCTTAAGCCACATCTGAGACTATATCCTTTACCTTGTGTATTGGAATTTTATCCCTGTATCACTTGCCTGACCTTAGGATTTGCTAGATCTTTCAAGCCTTCCCCTCTCAAAAATCAGCAAGCAAGATAAATACCAATAATGAGTTGTTTGACTGACTGGTTTTGATGAGCAGATTTTTATTGACATATACTGAAATATAGCATTGTGAATTATATTCCCATTGAAAGTATGGACCTATAGTTATTTATCACATTATCCTGTACATTGAACGATTTTTTTTTTAAAAGATTCATCAAATGAGAACTTTGTACTTGTACTTTCAGGATGCCTTATTTACATTTTACAATAAATATATAAATAATTAAACATGGCTATTTTTGTAGCAAAAATAACTGAGAGAATTACCCGAAAAATTTGAAATCAACCAAGAGCTAAAATCATACACATTTCAGACCACAATATGAGGCATTTTTTAAAAAATTTACCTGATTCAAAATATAGGGCATTGAATAACTTTTATATTTATTTTTTCAACTATACTCTTATTTCTTTTATTACTGTTTTAAAAAAAATCATACATTAAAATTTTAATTATTATTATTAAGGCTCTATATAAAACATTTAATAAGGGTATAAATAGAAAGATGTGAATATTTTTAACAATTCAAAGTTTCAATCAATATTATTAATAAATCGTGAAATAGTTTAATCTAACTTATATTGTGTTTCAAATTAAGTAAATTGTTAAGGTTACAAAAATTAATCATAATTGTAGAACAATTTATTTCATAAGGGTTTAGTCATTATGGTTATGGTGGGAAAATTAGTACTTATTGCTTGATTAGAAATTCACGGTGTTAGTGTCACACACACACACACACACACACACACACACACACACACACACACACACACACAGAGAGAGAGAGAGATGAGAGAGAGAGAGAGAGAGAGAGAGAGAGAGAGAGAGAGAGAATTGTTCCAAAAGAAAAAAAAGTTTGGAACCATTTTATTTTAGTAAAGTCTCAACAAATATTTAAAAGTAAAGAAAGTCCCTAAGGTCCTTAATTAATCTTTTGATAAAATTTTAAACATACAAATTTGCAACCTATTTTCTGAAACCTGCAACTTCTTCTACTTTGATTTGCCACTCAATTTTCTAATTTAATTTAAGAACAAATTTTTTTTATAAAAAACATAACACTTTAATGTTGAGTTTTATAAGATTATTTATTCAATTTCAGGAATTTATAACTTTCTCTATTATAATTGCAACCCTGTATCCCAATTTTATTCAAGAACATAATTTCAATATTTATTTTTCATAAGAAATTACTTTTTTAATTCCAATAATTTCCAATCTACTTTATCTAATATGCAATTTCATTTACCTTAGTTTACAACTTGAGATTCAAATTTTATTTAGAAATTCATAAATAAAATTTCTTGAATAAAATTAATATTGAGATTTTGTGTTCATTAATCAAATTGAGATATAAAGTTGTAAATCATAATAAATAGAGTTGCAAATACTTGTAGATGACAAAAATATAATATTATAAATTCAAGGTTGAAATCTTTCATTTTTTAAATAAAATTTGAAACTTGAGTTGGAAATTAAGATAAATAGAATTACAAATTACAAAGAGTAAATTACAAACTCTTGGAATTGAATAATTAATTTTTAATGAGAAAAATAAATATTGAGATTGTATTTTATAAGTAAAATTGGGATATAAAGTTGTAAATAATATTAGATGAAGTTTTGAAGTTGAATAAATAATTTTATAAAATTCAATATTAAAATTTTATTTTTTTATAAAAAAAGCTGTGTTCTTAAATTAAATTAAGAAATTGAGTTGTAAACTTTAAAAAATAAATTATAAATTTGTAAGTTTTAATTTTGTTAAAAGATCAATTAAGGATCAACAAAATTTCTGTGTATTTTAAAATTCATTGCACCTTTGTGCATGTTTGATTTTTAATTTACATCTAACAAAAATATATTTAAAAGATCTATTCTTTTTATTTAAAAATGTAAGACCTTTTTAATTGAGTAATTACTTTTTTTAAATTAACCTTATTTTTTATATTTACTCCTATTAAACACCTTACAATAAATATAAAGTCATTTATCAATAGCGATATTTTTAAAAAGAAGGTAATAATTATATTTTAAAAGATTAAAAATATTTTATATTTTTAAATATCTAACTTTTTAAAAAATATTTTTATATTTTTTAAGAGAGGGAGTGATTATTATTGTGTTTTTAAGAATTACCCAAACGGGTCCTTTGTTGAGATAAAATGTTTCATTTAAGCCTTCAATGTCATTCTCCCGGAAAGTTTTCCCAGCGTCCAGCGGTTCGTTAATAGCTTGCGGATCTGGACATCTAGTAATTGAGCACAACAAACTATAATTCAGTGAAGAGGGGGAGATTCCACACCAACAAAGCGAGACGAGAATTGGCGAGAAATTGAGAGTTCAGACTATGATACTTGCGGTCGTGTTCGCCAACGCTGAGGGCAATATCCTCATCGAACGGTGCGTTCCGATATCTTGTTCCCGTTTCTGAAGATAACATTTTCCCTTGTTTGTAATCGATATTGTATGTGATTTTTTCTTTGATTAGAAGTTTCACTTATAAACGTTGGATCTCGCTGTAGTGTTGGAATAATTGTATATGAAGGTTGGTAAGTATCTGATGTTCTGTTGGATCGGGATCGGGATCGGGTTTAACTGGATATTGATCTTGGTAGTAAGGCGTTTTGTTCTTTTTATGTGAACAATTTGAATAATGGGTATTTGAGCAGAAAGCAAACAACCCAGTTGCAATTTCCTACTGTAGGAGCACTTATCAGTGCAGCATAAGGTGTTATAGTTCTTGCCCTATCCCAATGATGAGCAAGGGGATTGGGTTAGCTGCATCACTAGTGAAATTTAGTTTTTAGGTTGGTTGAAATTTCACTGAGAGTTGATAAGTTGTCCAGTACTCTGATTCGGGTAATTTTCAAGCGGGAAACAAAAGCCTTTTATGAAAGTACCTAGCTGCTTTTCAAATACTATTTTTTGAATTTGTATACAGCATTCTTGACTTGTAGCCAACCCCACCTAGAGGGGTAAGGCTTGCTGCTGCTGCTGCTGTTGTTCTTGACTTGTAGCACTGGTGCAGTTGTTGAAAGAAAACAAAAATTGATGATCATGTACGGTAGAAATAGAGGTAGTAAATATTGTTGAGCTTGTTATATAACCTGGCAAATTGAGGAGTTTCTTGTGTGGTATCTTTTGAGTAGCTCTGCAATCGTCTAGCATTAAACAAAGACATTTATATAAACTTTATGGTGATGTTTGAGCTTAGCTCTGTGGTTTACCTCATTGCAGTTTTCATGGAGTTCCTGCAGAGGAGCGGCTGCATTGGCGCTCTTTCTTGGTCAAACTGGGATCTGATAACCTGAAAGGTGTCAAAAATGAAGAGCTCCTAGTTGCTAGCCACAAGTAACATTCTTTGTTCCCTCATTTTTATCATGCCTTGAAGACATGATGCATATATTCAGACCTATACAAATTACCTTGCCTGAGTGCACCATTGGAAAGCTTTAGGGAACTGCTTGGGAGGATTGACTTTTCATGTGGGCTGTCTGTTTATCTGAATCAGGATCAATGCAAACTTAGATGAAATGGCTGTTGACTCTTTAGCGAATAAGCATCAATGCAAACTTAGATGGAATAGGGCGTGTTATCTGGTGTGTTATTTAACATGATAAAATTTAACAAGCTAATAGTTCTAGTTACTTGAATAGAATAAACCTGAGATTGGAAAAATGGCACATTTCAGAGTCGTTCAAAGTTGAAAAGGTGGGAATAAATTGTAGAAGAGGAACCTGCACCTTCCTTGCATGACCAGCATGCTCAATGAAGTATAGCAGTTTAGAGTAGCTACAGCCATTTAAATCAGAAATTTGAATTGAAACAAACGACTTTCTCTCAAGTTTACTATTTTCTTCTCTATAATTGTATTCCTTGGCTTATGGTTCCATCTCCAATGATGTTAACAGTTTTTTAATTGGAGAATATGTTTTTTTCTATCAGGTCTGTTTATATTGTATACACAGTGCTTGGGGATGTCAGCATCTATGTTGTCGGAAAGGATGAGTATGATGAACTTGCCTGTATGTATTTACTGCATCTCTTTTGATGCTTATTTATTGATCAAACAACATTAGAGAGATATGCCATCTAATACATTATATGTGTACTTGCGCTCAATTTTTCTTGGTAATTTTTTCTTCTTTGAGGTGGGGGAGGGATTCTAAGATAACATTTGATTGGAGTGACTAGTTCTTTTGGTCTTGAAAATAATTACCTTTTTCTGGTTTTTAAAGTAGAATGACTGCTTTGTTAAGGTTGCCAATCTGATTAACTTGTACGAAATAATGCTGTGATTTTGGTAATACCTTCTAAAATTGTGTAGCGATAAAAACTAATGATCAATGAAACGCATATCTCACTCTACTGTGAGCAAAGGTGAAGGTAAAGAAATCGTTGGTTCTAAACCCTGTTTATGCGGTTTCAAGCGTACTAAAAGGGGAAAAAAGTGAGAACGGAAAAAGGACATTGTAAACAGACAGTGATGCATGTTTGTAAAGACTTCCACTAGTACTTACCGCATTTTTTTTTTCTCCAGTGTCAGAAGTGATCTTTGTGATAACCTCAGTTGTGAAGGACGTGTGTGGCAAGCCTCCAACTGAGCGCCTTTTCCTTGACAAGTACGGAAGAATCTGCTTGTGTTTGGATGAAATTGTTTGGAAGGTGAGGTGACATTCTCGATAATTTCAGCATTTTTGATGAAATGACAAACCTGAAATCCTTGACATTTCCTTAGTCTGTTCATTCATTGTGCTTGCCCACATCAATTGTTGGCATTCATCGTGTATGTGTAAGACCGTTGGCACCATTCATTTAGTGGGACTATAGATATTATGACAGATCGTTGATGTCATGTTATCCGTTTTGGTTAAACCCTTTGGGATGTTCATGGTAGTATATACTAGTTGTCAAAGTTTAGTACTGTTTGTTTCCTGTATTCGACAATGATTGAACCAAGCTTCTTGCTTCTTCTGCATTTTATTGTTGGGTAATTTCTTCTGGATTTGTTGATTGACATTTTCCTTGTGTATCTTTTCAAGGGATATTTGGAAAATACAGAGAAAGATAGAATCAAAAGATTGATGAGGTTGAAGCCTCCAACGGAGTTCTGAATATTTAAAGCCGGCTATAATAGCTTGAATAGTCCTCCGAGGTTCATTTGCTCACCAGCATCATGTAGTGAGTTTTCCCTGGCAAAGGGAAAATATTCCTATTAATTTTTGTTTTTGTTTGGTATTGATTTTGAAGATTTGTAACACAGTTCATAGAAATGTGGTTATCATATCATGTACCTGGGCGATGTACTATTCCCCCCATCCCTTTCATATGTTGGTTTGCTTATTATGTACCATTCATTGTTCATGTTGATGTATTCTTTTCAGGGATAAATATATTGGCAACGTAATGCACAACACTAACAGATTTTGAACCTAATTAGTAAGACACGGAGTATATTTCAAGTGCAAAAATTATACGTTTGTAGCTGTATCATGGAACAGAACGCCTTTGACTTATAGCTAGCTTTAAGCCCGATAAAAGAGGTGAGTTGTGTTAGGTTAGAAGATAGTGAATGTAAAACTGTTTGGGAATCTCTGTGGCCATTTGATAAACAAACCATCGTAATTCACTTCTTTCTTCTCAGCTAATCAACTGTTGGAAGTTAATTAAAAGTAAAATATGAGGTTAATTGTGTCAGGGTCTTTTCACAGGCTTGACCAGCTAATTGTGTTGGCTTGGAAGTGAAATGGTTTTGCCCTATCTATGGGCCAATATATTTCCGCAATCAGTTTTCCTGTAATATAAAGAAAACGAAAAGCAAAAAAACAAAAAAAAAAAGAAAAGAAAAGAAAAGAAACTTCCAATATATATATATATATATATATTGACTTGGAAAAACTTTCAATATTCATTCATTCGCCCCCTGGTAAGACTTCTAACATTCATTTATGAAGAAACGTACAAATACTATTAAACGGACTTTTCAATCATATTTGTCTTTATATGATTAATCTAGAAATAAATTTATTAGTAAATTCTGTAGATCCGATCAGAATGAGGAAATAAGAGTATAAGATTATTCAAATGAGTCATCTATATTAAATAAGTATTTTAATTACAATTATTAAATTTTATTAACACTTAAAAATTCTTAAAACATATTTTTCTCAGAAAATTTAAAACAACTCATGATTATAATGCCTCTCATGTACGTTGTCCTTTTCAAAAATTTTGAGTTTCAGTATTTTTTAAGTATCACAAGTCATAACTATTTGATTAAATTGACAATGGTTTCCTTTGATTAAAAATATTGTCATTTGTTATCATATAAAATAAAATTTAGATAAGTAGAATCGAAAGGCTCATCAAGTAAGACATACTCCTTCTGATTTTATTTATAAATTATTTTTATCAATCTCATCAATACCAATACAATAAAAGTATAAAGAATAAAATTTAATAAAATTACAAACATAATCCTCAAAAAATAAATAAATTATATAATATTATTTTTTTCTCTCTCTTACTTTTTAAAGATAATTTGAACATTTCATTGAAAATAAAGTATCATTATCAATCAATGATTATAAAGTAAATTACTTCATCTTTCTAGGAGGTGGTCAATAAAGTGAATCAGATGGAGTATTGTTGAGTTAAAAAAATTTATACTTATATTTTATTTTTACCTTTTAATTATTAAAATATTCCCATACATTCCTCTGGAATAATAAATCTAGTTATTACTTAATTTTGTAGATCCCATCAGACAATAATATCTTTTTACCCAAAAAAAAAAAAAATCAGACAAGAACATCTCCATTGGAAATAAGAAGACCGATGAGAAGACCCTCCGTTCACAGAGTTCATTCACTCACGGGTTCTTCTCCCACTAGAAAAAAGGCACAACAATGAAAACTCTAATTTCAGTTCTTATAATTGCCGTCTTCGCTACCTTTTCAGAAGCCAATCCAATCCTCAATCAGCCGCAAGCTCTCGAATCCTTCAAGCTCAGTGAAACCCAGCATCAGGTAACACCCTCTTTTCTTTTCTTCTCAAAAATTACTTTTCTATCGGATGAAGTACTCAACATGGCCCTAGAAATACAATCACATAAAGCAAAAGATTCTCCAGGAAGAGGACATTGCATAGGGATTCTCAAATTCGAATTTAAACTTAATTAGTATTTCCAGATCTCAGATATATATGTACTTGATCTGTCTGTTGCAGAACGGGGCGAGCTGTTCGTACACAGTAACCATAAAGACAAGCTGCTCTTCATCTCGATACACCAGAGATCAGATCAGTCTCGCTTTTGGCGATGCTTATGGCAATCAGGTTAGTAATTTCTAATACTTCTTCACCTTCAACATTTTTCTGAACCTGAATCACTCTGTGTCTTTTCCATGTATTGATCATGCTCAACACGTGATCAATCTGGAATCTGGTGGTGGTAATCAATCAGGTTTATGCTCCACGGATAGATGATCCATCTTCTGGAGCATTCGAGCGATGCTCTACGGATACGTATGAGGTACACGGTCCATGTACGCATCAAATCTGCTATCTGTATTTGTACAGGAGTGGATCCGATGGATGGAAACCAGAGAAAGTAACAGTGTATGGATATTACACGAAGGCCGTTACGTTTTACTACAACACTTTCATTCCCAGTGGCACCTGGTATGGATTCAACTTGTGTCATGGATCATCTTCTTCAGTCTCTAAAGCTACAGTGTAGTAGTGATGTAGCAATGGAATTAGTTCATAAGATGGATCGAATTGAAAAGAATAAATGATAGTGTCGGTGTAGCAAGGGCCTGGAATGGTTTTTATGTAATATTTGATTGACATATAAAAAAGTGTTTTTTAGAAAAGTAATGAGAAATGCATCTACAAAGTTTCTCATTTCCTTTTTTAAAAATATTTTTTTATATATCAAACATTGTTTCATGATGTTACTTTTTGTATTTGGCCAAAAAAAAGGATGTTAGTTTTTTTAAGGATGCGATAATGGAGCATTTAATGCTCCCACTCTGTTAATGCTCGTTGTAATTCCTCAACCTCTCAATTATTTTTTTATTTTTGATTATTAAAAATTTATATATAAAAGGGATATTTAAATATCTCTAATTTTATGTGAAATATGATTATAAAAAGGAACAAATCTCTGTGGTTTGATTCCATTCCATATATTACTATGTGTCTGTGATGTCAGTCTATTTTTATTGCAACATTATTCCTTTTTATTTTTGATAGAACATTATCCTTCTTTTTTTTTGGTTACCTGTTAAAGTATCTTTTTAATGTTGTTGTAGATTTGATGATGTCTTTATTTTTGGTTGCCTGATGATTCTGCCAAGTTTAGGTGCACCTAAATACCTAATCCTTTTTATCCGTGGGTGGCTCAAATTGGTAAAATATGGTTTTTATTTAATATTATTGATTTTAATTCTGTGAAATATTTTAAGCTAATCACATGTTACATTACGCATGACGAAACTTATCTACAGGCATGATTATTTTGATTTGATTCGCTTACTTTTCTTATTGAGAATTTTATGGCAAAAACTTGGGCTTTAAAACCATTTGTAAGCATGTTGGTCAACTAATATTGGGAGGGCTTTGCATTCAAGATAATCCCTCCAGGCTCAACGTATAAATAATAGATAATTGTATAAAAAAAACTATTTGTAATAAACTATTTGAATATTGATTTATGATTAACGAAATTTATTTTCATAGTTGAAGAAACTAAAATAAACCATAATGATTGAAAAATATGTTCTCTTGGTGAGTTGTCTCTAGATTCCTCTTGGTATATATAAAGGTGTGATAAAATGGTAAATAATTTTATATGATCACCCTCTTCAAATGGAGTTTAATGGTTCAAAATTTCAAATAGGATTGGTAGTTTAGCACTGCCATTCAAATTTTGTTTTAAAAATTTATGATTCTAACCATCGAATTAAATTCAATTGGTTGAGATAACATTAGGGCCCGGTTTGGACATGACCTTCAAAACGTTAGAAAGTCTTTTTCTTTGGTCCGTTAAATATAAACGATTCTTCGGTTTGAAAATGGCCTATAACAAAAATAGATCTGAAACGAGCTGAAAGGATTTTGAAGGGGCGCTTCAAACTGTCTTCTCAAAAGGATTTTGAGCATTGAAACATTAATACTTATTTGAATGGAGATAAAAGCACGGAAGGGGGAAAATCAGACAATTTTTTCCCCGAAAGTAGTAACAATTTTTTTTTAAAATTTTTCCTTGTAGTTTTTCTTTCCTTTCCTATTTTCTACCCACTTTTCTCTTCCTAGGCTTAGTTTGGATTGAGCGAACGGAAAAGTAGGAAGAAAATAGGGATGATGAAAAATAGAAGGAGAAATTTTTAAAAGTATTTAAAAAAAAAACTATTTTCATGAGTTTTCCTTCTAATTTTACCTCCTTCCTATTTTTTTCTCCTACAAACAATAAATATGAAATTTACCAAAATACCATTATCTTTTTCATAGAGAAAACCAACTCCTTCACCGATGTTGTAGCTCCGACAATAAGTTATAGTCTAGTGCCCTAGTCTCGGTGCCAACGACAATGGTGGAGGGATTTTCTAAGGAAAAAATAAATAAGTCAAGGCTATTTTGGTAATTGGCCAATAAAATTTAATTCCTTGATTTTGTATGATATTTTAAAATGCATTGGTTTTTGCATGTAAACTAGGTGCTTCAGGGTCGTCCAATGATATTGGGAGAATGACAATTAAGTTCAAAAACTTTGAATTAATGATAGTTTGATTTGGATAAAATTTCTTGAAAAATGAGTTACAAATATTTATTCAAATAAGTGAAAATTTAAAAGTTTAGGTCACAAATAAGAAATTTAAATTTCAAATGTAACTCTCACGTTGTATCAAGAATTCTAAAATATAATTATTTAAATTAATATTTATAACTCGTTGTTTACAAAATTTTATTGAAGACTTGTTATCTTTAATTTTATATTTTGAAATTTAAATGTCATTCTCATAATGATATCCTCTCCCTAACTTTAAACGAGGAAAAACCACAATCAATGATTATTGAGTAAAATTTATTACTTTGCAGGACTAAATAATTTTGATATTGTCCTACTAGATCAAATGACATAAATATAATTAAAATTTTTTATGAAAAAACACAACTACTTCTCATATATGCACGCATGCGTGCATATATTTTTGTTTGTGATGAGATAATTGATTGTTATTAAAATAAAAATAACATTTTATTAAAATAAGAACTTATTTATCAAATCACAATGCTTCCTCTTTGCCACCAAAATTAGTATTTTATAGTTGTTAATAAAATAATTTATTGCTGTTGAAATAAAAATGAGACTTGTTTTTTCTAAATGAAAATTTGGATTTCACCAAATCACAACACTTGTTCTCTCTACTACTAAGCTAATTTTTTGTTAATGAGGGAATTAATTATTGTCAAAATGAAAATGGAATTTGTCTCTTCCCTAATGGGAACTTGTTAAAAAGCATATATATATGAGGGTTAGTTTTGTTTTTTCACACAAATTTTAATTACACTCAAATCATTTGATCATATAGAGTAATATCAAAATTAATTGGCTCTGTAGAGCAATAAATTTTGTTTGATGGTCCTTGATTGTGATTTTTCATTTAAACAAAAAAACGGTTGGTGCATGTAAGAAAAGCAATAAGCACCATAAGGTGGTCGTAGATCAAGAATTGCGTGTGTAGATGGGGAGAGGGGTTGAACTAGGTCAGGCTCTTAATAAAGACTTACATAGTGGCCTACTTCAAGTCCAACCCAGCCTATTTACTAAATAGGCTTAAGCCAAATTCAAGCTTTTAATTAAGTCTATTTAGTTAACTAGGCCAGGATTTTTTTTAAAAGCTTAACTTACGAGCTCAACGGGCCAATCTATTTACACACATAATGTAATATATTATAAACACATTAGTTTTACCATTTGATTTTTAATTAATTTATTCTTTTAATGCAATTAGTAAGTCTTTTCAATTATTATATATTGTAATTGATAAGTTAAATTATATATTATATATTATAATAGTCATAAAATATATTTAAAAAATTTAAAACTAAAATGAAAACCTATTTAAAAGAACTACTTTTAAGTATGCTTTTTAAATAGGTTTTCAAGTTAGGCTAGGCTTTATGTAGGCTCAAGCTTGAGCTGTAAAAAAGCTTTATACGGGCTTTAGGCTAGGCTCAAGTGTCTAATTTATCATACAGGCTCAGGCCTATTTGATTAAAGCCTAACTCGGTCTAACTTATTTTCACCTCTAAATGGGGAAGTAAACTAAAAGCCACCTGAATAATGACAATTTGATTGAATTTTAAATTTTTTTGCAATAAAAAATGAACACTTTAGAGAATAAATTGGAGAGTTGGGGGAGAAGGACTCTCCTTTCTTGCATGCGCATGTAGGTCTTTTCATGGCTAATAGGCACCTACTTACATTTTCCTTTTTTCTTTGTCCCCGTTCCTTTTTTTCCCTAAACTTCATTAGTTTTTAGGAAAGAAAGAATAACAATTAAGTCTTGCTGTTATTGTTGTTGTTGTTGTTGTTATAAACTAGAATCAAGGTGCTATTATAAGGCTACAAATAGTCCAAAATATTTAAGGCAAGAGCAGAGGATCCCTCGTCATTCCCTAACCCTTGAAGAAAGCTTGGGTGATAATCAAAGATACAAAAAAAACATCAACTAAACAATGAGAATTCCTAGCTAAAAAGTCAACATAAAAATTATGATCATGATACAAATGATAAACTTTCATAATCCTGTCATCGTGGAAAAGCATCTTCACATCATTGATGATGTCTCTAAATGGACATTTAAGTCTTAAAATACTAAATCAATCATCGTTGGAATTTTTAACTCTATATGTATGTATAATTAGCAATTTTAGCCAAGCTAGATGGGCCAACCTGAATATGGCCCAAAAAAAATTAAAACTGAACTTGGCTATATGGACTTTTTAAGGAGGTAGGATATGTAACATCTCGAAATTTTACGACTCAAATTTATAAAAATAAAATAAAATAAAATAAAATATCTATAATTAAATTAAATTTAGAATAATTTGATAGAGGTCCAGAGTTTGAATTTTACTAGGCAAAAGTTTAGTTTTATTTGATTTTTAACTATGGGAAAAATTACCAAAGTTGACCCGGGCTTTTGTGCAATAAAAAAAATGTTGGGCCCTTTCTTGTAATTCACCCCAAAATATTTTAGCATCAGTTTTAAAGAGCAAAACAGACCAGAAACGTAGAAAAAAAACAAGGAAAGGAAAGGAGAAAGGAGAAAGAGAGGGAGTTAGGTTCGAATCTAGGAGTCTTTGCGACCGTTGCGAGCTCGGCTACACGATAGGTAAACTCTCTACTTCAATCCTCTTCCCTTTCTCTTGATTTTATTCAATTTTTGGAAGAGGATATTTTTGAATTTTGATCTCAAAGGCTTTATTCTTATAAGCTTTTGTTTCTTTGGATCCTAAGGAGCATGTTTTGAGTTTTTATATAGTGATCTAATGTTTTGAGTGAATAATTGGATGAAAAGAGGTGTTTTGGGTACAAAATAAACCTTGAGAAATTGGGTTTTTTCTCTTCAATGGTTTAAGTATATTGATTTAGTTATAATTTTTCTATTTAAGCCCAATAAGATTTAAATTAAGGTTTGGTTTTTGTAATAAGGGCTAATGGTGAAAGTTGGTGACACTAAGTAAAGGTTTTTAATTGATAAAAAATTATATAAATTGAAAATTAGCCTAATGATGGCTAATAAATAGTTTTGGTGGTTAAGTGATACTATGTGAATGTTTGGTTTAATATATGGACCATTAGGGTGGATTATGACTCATTGACCCAAGTTGTGTGGTATGAGTTATAGTTTTCATTAATGCTATTTGTCATGATAAGTGATGTGGATCACTTATATGTTGTAAGAAATTGTTGGTGGAACTTATTGAGAAGTAAGGAACAAGCTGAGCCTTATTTTGTACAAGGGGAACCCTTTTGGTACCAAAAGGTTGAGGTAACAGGGGAATTTATATTTCTTATTACTTTGTTTTAGCTATTTTTGAATAAATATTACTAGTTATCATGCATTACATATTTTAAAAGATTAAATGTGCTTTATAAGGGGTTATGGGGTACTACTTT